TGATCCAGGTTGGCTGAGGCTGGGATAGACTGAAGCACACCCCTCTTAGGAGGTACATGCCTGTGTCTGCCTCTCTCTTCCACAGAAGAAATAAAATAAATAAATAAATAAATAAAAGAACATCTCTTCTGAAAGGTGAGAGGCTCTAGAAAACAGCTCCCTCCAGGCCTCATAAGCTCTCGTTGCAATTTTGTCCCAGCTTCTAGAGCTGAGCTTGTGTGCTGAGTCAGTTTGGCTGCCTTCCAGCCAAGAACAGAAATGGAGACTGCAATGCAGGGACCATTAGAGAAACTATTTTTAGGCCCCATTTTAATCGTATTCAGCACAGGCGGTGAGATACAGGGCCTGCAGGTGGCCAGGCCAAGGGATGCTGGCACGGACAGAGTCCCAGGCAAGGAGTTGGGGGAAAAGACAAGGAGATCTCATTACATGGAGGGAAAGGAGTGCCCTGTAGCTCAAGCTACAGCCCAAGGTGCAGAACACAGAAGTGGGAGTTGCTTGCAGAGAATCTGGCCGTCCTGCATTATTTGAAGAGTCATCAAGACAAGTGGGGGAAGGGAGTGGAAGAAAGTACGGTGCCTTCCAAAAAGAGACTAGGGCAAACAGTACCTGGGGAGCTTGTTAAAAATATACTTCCTTGGCCCAACTCTGGTCAACTGAGTCACACTATTTGGAGTGGGGCTTGGGAATCTGTGTTTCTTTTAAAGATTTATTTAAATTTATTTATTTTCATTATTATTATCATTTTAGTTTGACCAGAGAGAGAGAGAAAGAGGGAAAGTAAAAAGGCAAGCCGCCAGGTCCAGGACCCGAACAGCAGTTGGCCAGGTGGGAGTCCAGTGCCTACCCACCATGCCACCTGCTGGCCCTGGGAATCCATGTTTTTAATCAGCTCCATAGAGGGGTAACTCTCATACACGTTTCAAGTACAAGGATCTCTAGACTAGGGAGTGCCTAACTACCTCTGGAATTCAAATTGTAGTCAGGCAAAGGAGAGACGAGGGTAGGAGTGGTCATTTAATGGCCATCAAAAGTACCATTCTCATCTCACTGGACTCAGGTTTCTATGTGTAACATGAACACCAGCAAGGCCAGGAGTCTCTTAATGCTACTTCAGAATACTCTCATCACTGGGATACTCAGTGACCAGCGGAGGAAAGAGAAACAGCTTTTATTCCAGAGGTCTACATTGTCCATGGATAATCAGTCAAAGTGTACTCAGAGTGAATACATTTAAAGACCACACTTCAAAGTATGTTCAGGAGGGGCATAAAGTTTGATATGGATTATCATGAAAAATAAATTTTTTTGAGAGTTTTTTTTTTTTTTTTTGCTATAGGGCGCGTGCGCTCGCCAGACAGACAGAGAGAGACATAGAGACAGAAACGAGAAATCACCCCCCAGGGAGGATGGTCACGCTGCAATCCCTTCTCCTCCATTCTCCTCTTGGGATCCTGGGCATGCATGCACACACGCCCGGCGTGAGTTTTAAGCCACCAGGTCTGGGACGCGAACTGCGGTCGACTATGTGGGAGTCCAGCGACATAGCCATTACGCTAACTGCTGATTCCCATGGAAAATAAATCTTAAGGGCCCAGCAGGTGATAGATACGGTGGTTAAGGCGCTGGACTCCCTTATGACCAACTGTAGATTTTTCTTTTTTAGTAATTATTTATTTGATTTGTTCATTCATTTATTTATTTTTTGGAGAGGTTTTTGCTATAGAGCACGTGCACTCACCAGACAGGGAGAGTCAGAGAGACAGAAAGCGAGAAATCACCCCTCGGGGGGATGGCCATGCCGCAATCCCTTCTCCTCTATTCTTCTCTTGGGATCTTGGGCATGCACGCACACGCACCCGGCATGAGTTTTAAGTCACCGGGTCCAGGATGCGAACCACGGTTGACCACATGGGAGTCCAGCGACATAGCCATTACACTAACTGCTGGTCCCGTTCATTCATTTATTTCAATATGATCAGAGAGAGACACACAGGGAGAGGGAGAGCGAGAGAGGGAGGAAAAGTAGAAATCAAGCTGCCAAGTCTGGGACTTGAACTGTGGTTGGCCATGTGAGAGTGTCCAACACCTTAACCACATGCAACCTGCTGGTCCCCCCTAACTGTAGTTTGAGTCACAGACCCAGTGGTTTTAAAATCACGCTTGGCATGTGTGTATGTGCTATTACCTCTGCACGGTGACTTCTCACTTTCCCTTTCTATCTCTGTTGAGGGTACATGGCTGATGGCACACATACACACACAAAACTGAAAAAAAGAAACAAAAAGAAATCTTATTTCATCTTGTAGTCAATACTAGATTGTACTTGCAATGCTGTAATACTTTTTACATCTCAACGTATTTCTTAAAATGAATAAAGAATGAATTTAGGGCCAGCCCAGGGTATGGTGGTTAAGGCACTTGATCCTACAAAGCCAACTGCGTGGTTCAAGTTTTGAACCCTGTGGCTACAAAAACATGCCAGGCATGTGTGTGCAAGCCCAAAATCTTGAAAGGATGGAGAAATAGAGGTTACAATATGACCACCCCCCATGGGAGTTGCTTTCTCTCTTTACCTCTCTTTCTCTGCCTGGCAAGTGCACACACAATCCAGCAAGATTTAAAAAAAAAGATTGAGTACTGATCTGGGAGCAGAGAGTGGGGTACACCCTTTCTAACAAAACTGTCCAGGAAGACTCTATGTAATCCTTCATTTTGATTTTTGCAGGATTACAAAGAAGGTACTATTTTGAGCATTTTAAAGGGTGTTACCTATTTTTTCCAGGACTTCTCTTTTTTTCCCTAAGAATTATTTAACTTTATTTATTTACTTATTTTAATTTGACCAGAGAGGAACAGAGAGACAGAGGGAGAGAGAGAGACGGAATGTGAGAAAGCAAGTCAACAGGTCCAGGACTTGAACCACCATTGGCCATATGGGAGCCCAGCATCCCTAACCACCACGCCACTTGCCGGTCCCCCAGGACTTCTCTTCATCCTTTAAGTAGATCATTATTTTTCATGGGCAGCTGTCATGTCATCTCTGTAACGATTCTCCTCATTGTCACCTGGTCTCCCTGGCCAACTGCTCTGCAGGTGAATCTCCAACATCAGTCTCACTGACTTCATGAAACCCTGCAGAACTGAGAATGCCATGGACCTGTCTTCTGTTCACATTGCGCTGTCAGCCACAACATCCAGAGCAAGTCTGGCAATCTGGGACAGACAGGACTAGTGTCAGTAAAGAGCAGGGGAAATGAGATCATCTCTCATCCCAGTTGAAATGGTTGACAGAAAAAAGACAAAGAATAACGAATGCTGGCAAGGATGTGGGGAAAGGGGAAATGTTTTACACTGTTGCTGAGATTGTAAATTAGAAAGCCATCATGGAAACCAGTATGGACTTCCTTCAAAAAACTAAAAAGAGGACTGCTGTACGATCCAGCAATCCCATTTGTCTTTGGGTGGCATATATATAAATATATTCATATATATATATATATACACACATATAAATATATAAAAAAATATAAATATGTAAGCCACAGTTGACTACATGGGAGTCCAGTGACATAGTCATTATGTCAACTGCTGGTCTCTAAAGAATGAGTTTCTGTTGGGGAAGAGGAGATTTTGCTTTCTGTGCTCTGCCGACTGCCTTCTTTTGCAAGGACCTAAGTATGATACGAGAGGACTTCAAAAAGTCTGTGGCAAATGGAGTTAAATAAGAGTTAAATTTGGTACCAAAAAAATATGAAATCAGGGGCCGGTAGGTGGTGTGGTAGTTAACGGTGCTGGATTCCCCCACAGCCAACTGCACACACACTCCAGCAAGATTTAAAAAAAAAGATTGAGTACTGATCTGGGAGCAGAGTGGGGTACACCCTTTCTAACAAAACTGTCCAGGAAGACTCTATGTAATCCTTCATTTTGATTTTTGCAGGATTACAAAGAAGGTACTATTTTGAGCATTTTAAAGGGTGTTACCTATTTTTTCCAGGACTTCTCTTTTTTTCCCTAAGAATTATTTAACTTTATTTATTTACTTATTTTAATTTGACCAGAGAGGAACAGAGAGACAGAGGGAGAGAGAGAGACGGAACGTGAGAAAGCAAATCAACAGGTCCAGGCAGCTTGTTTTCTCACTTTTCCGTTCTTTCTCTGGTCAAATAGAAAATATTAATAATAATGAATAAAATTAAATACTTATTTAAAAATTTGAAATCTATGCATAATTGTTTTATAATGCACATTTTTTGTAAACTTTTTGAAGATCCCTTATAAATACCAACCTAGTGAGGATGCTCCAAAGCAGAAATGAGGCCGGTGTAGACAAGAAGGCAGCATCTTTTTTTCTTTTCTTTTTTCTTTTTTTTTTTAAAGGTTTTTGCCATAGGGCATGTACACTTGCTGGAAAGAAAGACAAAGACAGTAAGAAGGAAAATGAGAAGTAGCCTCTCAAGGAGGATGATCATGCTGCAATCCCTTCTCCTCTATTCTCTTCTGGGGATTTTAGTCGTGCATGCACACATGCCTAGCACGATTTTCAAGCCACTGGGTCCAGGACTCAAACCATGGTAGGCTGTGTGGAAGTCCAGTGCCTTAACCACTGAGCTATCTGTCTATCCCAAAAGGAAGCATCTTTCTATAGAATTGGACTTTTTGCAATCTGCTTTTCTTGGCGACCTAAAAAAAAGAGCTGCTCACAAACGCTTTTCTATTTTTTTTTAAGAATGATTTTATTTAACTTTATTTTCATTTCACCAGAGGACAGAGTAAGAGAGAGAAAATAAAATGTAAGCTGCCAGGTCCGGGACTTGAACTGTGGTTGGCCATGTGAGAGTCCAGTGCCCTTAACCACCACGCCACCTGCCGGCCCCTCACAAATGCTCTTTCACACTGTGCTGTGGCTCCCACTTGCCCTTCCAGACTGCAAAGCTGTCCCCTGCCCCAAGGAGCCACAAACAAAGGTTGTTTGGTCAGGCAACACTTCAATTGTGTCTTTAGACAGTATCTAAAGCCTTGTGTGGACCAGAGCAGGAAGCGGAGGCTCAGTCCTCAGGATGGGGCTTTGGCAGGAACCCTGCGATGAGCTGGAGGTCAGCGATGGCTGAAGAATCCCTGAGGATGGTTATATTTGAACGGCTTCATCCTGCTGGGACCCCTGGTAACAGAAGGGAGAGCAGTTAATTCCACGCCTTCTCGACTGATACCTTACACCTCATTCACACAGGGAATACTATGTGCTGTTACAGGGGAAAAAAGAGGTAGTGTTACATAAGAAAAGACAATGTGAGAGATCAGACCACAAAGCAGTATGGAAGGTGTGACACTGTTTTCATAAAATGTGCCCTTTTTTGGTAAAAGGTGCTTTATGTGCTTGCAACTGTATGAATGCAAATCTGGAAGGCCTTCACTGACAGTGGGCACTTCTGCGGATGGCCTGGGTACCCTCACTTTTTAGATAATTTACTGATAACAAAAATGTTTTATTTCTGTAATGAAAGAAGGAAAAGTAAAGCCCCTTCTTCTGAGCTCCTCACAAAGGCAGGAATCTGGGAGTGAAAGCTATTTGCACTGTGTCTGCCAAGAGCCATGTGCTTTCTCTGTACTAGAGATGCTATTTTCATTTTATAGGTTTTACAGGTGAAAAGATAGGCTTGAGGGCCAGCAGGTGGCGTGGTGGTTAAGGCGCTAGATCCCACATGGTCAGCTCTGTGGTTTGTCCTAGACCTGGTAGCCTGAAAACATGCCAGGCACATGTGCATGCCTACCCCAAGTACCCAGAGGAGCCTGGAGGAGGACTGTGGTGTGGCCATCCCCATAGGGTGTTGATTTCTCACTTTTTCTCTCTCTGTTTCTCTCTGGAGAGCACACAGACCCTATAGCAAGAAAGGCGCTCAGGGAGGGAAACTTTCTATCCAATACTGTATGGTCAGGAAGTAGCTGAGGCAAAACTGAAAAACAGGTCTAGGGACCAGCGGATGGCATAATGGTTACGTTGCTGGACTCAGTTTGAGTCCCAGACCCAGTGGCTTGAAACTCATGTTGGGCATGTGTGCATGTGTGCCCCAAAACCCATAGAGAATGGAGAAGGGACTGTGGCATGGCCATTCCCCCTTGGGGGATTTCTCACTGTCTCTCTGGTAAGCACAAGTATCCTATAAAAAAGTTTCTCTTAAAAAAAAAAAAAGCAAGACAGGTCTGGAGGCCAGACAGTAGTGGCATAACGGTCAACTGTGACGCTCTGTGAGTGCTGGTCCACTGAGTCCGTGTCCAGACACCTCCCTGAGTATACCAGGTAAGTGTGTGCTCATGGTCTGGGGCTGGGTGAGACAGGGTGGACCTCAGCATCAAGACTTTGTTGGGGGTATTGTCTCTCTTGTGGGAGAAATAAATTTCAAAACAAATAGAAAAATAAAGCAATCAGGGTCAGGTGGAGAAAAGTGGTAGAAATGCCATGCACCCAGATGTTCTAAATGCCAGGCTGTTGGAACCTGCCAGCGTTTTCTGAGCCCGTCCTGTCAGAAACCACACTGGAAGCTTTATATGAACTATCTCGGCTTCATCAGGAGCGAGAAGGTACTTCTTCTACCACTTCAGCCTTTATGAGACAGGCTCAGTGCTGAATGGAGGTGACTTCCAAGGTCACACAGATGGCAAGCAGAAAAGTCGGAGCTGCACTCACGTCTGTTTTACCTCTGAGCTGGCTCCTGTCAGACACCTGACTGCCTAACGCTGGGATTCTCTGGCCTTGCTATGGTGGTGCATGCTGCTAAGACGCTGTGCTCCACAGGCTGGGACCACATGGGAGCCCCAGGTTTGAGTCCTGGTCTAACCTAAAAACCAAGCTCAGTGGCATGCACCTCAGTCTCAGAGACTCAGGGAGACCAAGGCTAGAAGACTACAAACTTGAGGCTGACTAGGTAACACAGTGACCGATAGCCGGGAGAAGCGGAACACACACAGACCCAACTGGGAGGATGAGGCAGTAGGATCACGAAGTGGTGAGATCCTGCCTTTAAAAACATAAGGGGACAGGCCAGTCGTGTGGTGGTTAAGGCAGCGGGATCCCACATGACCAACTGCACGGCTGGTGTCCTGGACCTGGCAGCCTGAAAAACACACTGAGCGTGTATGTGTGTATGCCCAAAATCCTGAGAGAAGAATGGAGAAGGGACTGTGGGGTGACCGTGCTCCCTGGAGGGTGATTTATCTCTCTCTCTCTGTCTCCCTCCAGTGAGCGCACGTACCTTACAGCAAGCTAAAAAATAAAAATAAAAAAGAGACGGAGGCCTGCCAATAGGAGGTTAAGGTGGCTGGATCCCACATGGCCAACTGCATGGTTAGCGTTCTGGACTGGTGGCTTGAAAATCGTGCTGGGAATGTGTGGGTATGTGCCCAAAATCCTGAGAAGAGGAGGACTGTGGTGTTGCCGTCCACCTTAGGGAATGTTTGCTCCCTTTTCCTCTCTCTGTGACTGTCTGTCTTCAGTGGATACACATGCTCGACAGCAAAAAAAGAAAAGGAAAAAAGAAAGATGGGCCAGATGGTGGCATAGCAGTAAAACGTGACGCCCTGAGGCTGGCCCACACGAGGAGTCCAGGCTGTGTCTAGAGGCCTCCCTGAGTATGCTGAATTATGTGCTGACAATTCTGGGCGAACCGAAGCTGGGGGTAGAGTGTGGCATCGAGACCCTATCTGGGGTGCTGCCTCTCTGTCTTTATCATAATAAACAAATAGAAAATGCAAAATAGTGATTCTCGCTGATAGGAACATCCTAGGAAGACCACGGTGGACTCCCTGGGGACTGGTGGGGATGCACAGAGGAAAAACTGCTTATCTGGATACTAAAAAGTAAAGGAGCTCTTGTTTTCCACAGAAAGGTTGGAAAATGAAGCTCAGCCACGTCCTCTGGGTCCACAGTCTTGAGCCGGTCACAGGGTGTTTGTGAAGAACAGGCAGACCAGGCTGGTGGAAGCTGGGCTGCAGGGGATGTCTCAGGAAGGAGGCAGCACCCTCCTCCCAGCAATCTGGCAGCAGGATTTTAATTTCCACTGTCAACAGACACAAGCCACCCGGAAATGCACGCACATGCCCTCTGTGCCATGCACATGATGAAACCTTGCCTCCTGCAGGGCTTGAGCTCTACTCCATGTCCTGTGACACAGCCCGAGCCCTGGCCCTCCCACTCTGCCCCACACCTGAAGAGCCGCAGACACATCTTCTCCTGAGGAAATTCTTTGGGTCCTTCCACGCTGTCATCGTGGCTCTCGGTCTCCAGGTAGACGTCCAGCAGCACGCACAGTCGCTGCAGCTGGTTGGTCAAGAGCTGGTGGCCGGGCCGGGGGCCGCACAGCTCCTTGTAGCACACGTTGACCTCACTCTCCATGGCCTGGGCAGGCGGGAAAGCCAGCATCTCAGCACTCCCTGCCTGAGTGCAGCTGGGCCACTGGCCAAACTTCTGTCCACAGTCGGGCCTGAGGGCTGCTGCCATCACAGTGGCTGGGCCACTGGACCACGCTGGGCTGGCCTGTCCTGACAAGCTCTTTCCCCAAGACAATGAATGGGGTGTTATCCAATTCTCACCCATAACTTTCTCTGCCTCACACACCCTCAGCGGGAAGATGAAGGTGTGCAGAGAGGGAATCTCAAGGTAAGATGCAAGTCAGAGGCGTTAGGGTTAAAATCAGGTGCTCAAGGCCATAAGGCCCCACCGTATCAATTGACAGGCACAACTGTCATCAACAGCTGTGACGATCTCATACATCTCCTCATCCCAGTGATTCTTGAATGCTACTGAGTTTATTCTTGTTTTTTTTTTTTTTAGTTTATTCTTGTTTTCACAGAAGCCCAAGACAACAACTTTTCAAGGCAGATATTTTTCCTCACTGGGAATTCTGCAGACTGAAGCAGGTAAGGGAATGAGATGGGCCTAGACTCTTCCCTCCACTATCTCATGCAGCCTCCAGCAAATTCTTTAAAAAAAAAAAAAACTTTTTAAAAGAATTATCTCATTTATGGGGCCAGCAGGTGGTGTGATGGTTAGGGGCGCTGGACTCCCACATGGCCGACCACAGTTCAAGTCCCGGACCTGGCTTTCTCTCTCACTCTGTCCCTCTCTGGTAAAATATAAATAAATAGGAGACCAGCAGGAGGCATGGTGGTTAAGGTGCTGGACACTCCCATGTGGCCTACCACGGTTTAAGTCCTAGACATGGTGGCCTGCCTTCTCACTTTCCCCCTCTCTCTCTCTCTCTGCGTGTGTGTCTCTCTCTGGTAAAATTAAAGTAACTGAATGAATAAATAAAATTAAATAAATAATTTTTTTTTTTTTTTGGAGAGGCTTTCTCTAGAGG